CCCCTAGACTGATTATTTTAAGCTTGTTCTTCAGGGTCTCCAGTACAATGACCTCCAATACAATGATCCCTTTTATAGCAAAACTGAGTTTTATACAAATTAAATGTTAGTATTTGCTGGACTTACTGCTTTTCAAAAATCCTCTAAAGGACTAGTCAATCTGCTTATCAGTATTAAAATGGTGGGGCAGAATGCGATATGTACTTTTAAAATAAGAGACTTTCTATAACAAACCAGCCTGTAAAAGTAGGCAGTGATATGTTAGTCTGCCAACAGGGGGACTTTGGAGTTAAACAGAAATCATTTCATGTGTATTTCAAAATGAATGTTACCTTTTGTCTGCTGTTTGCTAAGGTGCTTTCCTCCAGGGAGTTGGCAAGTGTTTTTGGAAACCTTAGCAACAAGGTCAACACAAGCGAGTCTAAGCATAGGAGTAAAGTTATGTTATTAATTGAAATTAGTATGTGTCAAAAAGATATGAACAAGGCAGCACAACAAATTTTACAGTCATCTGTAGTGGTGAAAGTTTCAGTTATGTGGCTTGCGGAAAGAAAATAAAATTGGCATAAAGGCAGTGAGATAGAAGAGAAACCCAAACAGAAATGCCGGATAGAAAGGAAAGGAAGTACAGTCCAAAACATCATCTCCTTTTAAGCCTATATGAACTCAAAGCACCCTTTCCATAAACCACCTCGTGGGTCACTGTAGCTGTCCTTTGAGACAGTGAGGATTCACTTGGAATCACACTCTTAGGTGAGTTGGATTCCAGCAAACCCCTGGCTGTGATTCAGACCAATCTGCTACCCATCCAACTTCCCCCCAGGACAGCATCCCTTCCATGCAGGTAAACATCCAACCTCTGCTTTGAATTGTTCAGTGGCATGATCCTTTGTTCAACAGTTTTGTTAATAGCACGTTATTGTTGTTTTTGTTATTTAATACCGAACTGAGGTTGGTGTCTATATAATGTCCACCTAAATTATAAATTCTCTAGTATCACTCTGGTATCAAAAGTCTTTTCCAAATGATATAGCTGACCAAAATAGAACTGGGAACAAAATGACTTTCCTGTTTACAGTTCCTGTTGTGGAAACCATACTCTTCTCTCCTTTACTTTCTAAAAGATAGATACATAGATAATTAGATAGATAGATGCTTTTGAAATAAAGCCATTAAAGTACTGTCCATAATTAACCGTTTGATTTTTGTCCCAGGTTGTATTTAACAAGCCCTTGGAAGCTGGAAATAAGAATCTGATTTCAAGCAGCCATTTGATTTCCTCAATAAAATTGCATTTGATGAGTTGGGCTGTTTATGAGCTCTAAATGAGATGTATTTCTATGGAGTGAAAGACAATCATTTTTCCAGCAGACCTTGCTCATACACACAAAAGGATGCATACAAAAGCCTTCAAATAATAAGGTACTCTCACTCATTGCCATTTTTGATAAACATTACTATTAAAGAGATTTCAGTGGTCATAGAGTAGCATAAATATAATTTTTTTAGGTAATGTTTTTATGAGTCACAACTTAAATTATCAACTGACTGTTCGCATCAACAAAAGTGTCCCCTGTTAATTTTTGAATTTTTCAAAATGAGTAATAGTAAACTAATTCCCAAGCTCTCTCTTCAATCTCCTGTCCATCGTACCAACTTAAGTGTTCAGTCCTCAGATTCACTTTTCAAGAAAGACCTAAATCTGATTTCAAAGGACTCCTTGGAGTCAGATTCAGAAAGCCTCACTCAGAAGTCCCAGTCCGAACTTGAGAACCAAATCCAGGACAAAGATATGGAACCAGACAGCTTAGAGGAGGAAAGCCCTGCACAGGAAAGCCTGAGTGAAACAGAAGAGCAAGGAGGGGAAACAGCAGCTCAGATGGCCTGGGAGGAAGACCGCTCTGCTCAGGACCGTGGTGGGAATCCCAGGTAAGAAATTGGCTAGTGTGAGATGATAAGGTTAAATAATGGTGCCATTCCAAACGACAAGGACAGGCTTTCCTTGTGAGTGCCTTGTAATGTGAGTGAGACAGTTCCCTAAGAAGCTAAAGACAGAGTGACTCCTTGCTTTTTGTCACTTTTATTTCTTTTTTAATTGAAAAATATAATAGACATGAATAATGGCATTTGCATTTCTTACACTCTTATTTCCTATCTGTATTCCAAAGGTCTTCACTGCTATCCCCTCACCTTGGAGAAACCCTAGAAAGCCTGGTATAGTAAAGTGTACAGTTTGGAGTCTGATGGTCTCAGTTTGGTCCAAGCACTGCTGTTTAGTGTAGAACTTGGAATAAATCACTTAAATTTGTGGATCACTTTTTCTGTTTTGTTAAATGACCTGCTTGTCTCATAGGATTGCTATGAATGTCAGTAAAATACAATTAATTGAGGATAGACTGCTATCTGGCACCTTTCTTTGGTGGTAGTAGAAGTCTACCTCCCAGGCCTGTATGAGTCTATGCAGATTCAATCTAATAGTATTTATGGAACTTAACTTTATGCAATGAGCTACCAAAAAGCAAGGGAATATAAAATAATGAAACAATATCACCCCATTTTAATGAGGCATTCCATGATATGGGAGAGTCCAGAAGAAGTTAAAAGCTATGAAGAAAAAGTTTTAGTGTGGGGAAGAAATGCATAGGGTATGAAGCAAACTACTTGGGTTTAGAGTAGCTGGTTCTGCTACTTATTAGCTGTGTGACTTGGGCTCAGCTTCTTTATCAATGAAATATTATAATAATATTACCTTATACAGTTATGAGGCTAAAATAAATTCATATATATATATGGTTTAGGACAGTGACTAGCTCTTTATATATTATATGTTTTCTAAAATTAGGGATCAAATGTATCAAGGAATTGGAAGGCCTAGAAATTGGGCAAGGTTTTTTTGTTTCTTTTTGGTGTCAGGAATTGAACTCAGGACCTTGCGCTTGCCAGTCAGGTGCTGTACCACTGAGCTGTCTCACCGGCCCCTGGGCAAGGTTTTGAAGACAAAGAGATTTGGATGACAGAATTAGAGTGACACATTTGTGGTATATTTAGGAGGCCAACTAGACTGCAGAAGCTTTGTTCTAAGTGTAGGGAAAATTGAGTAGGGAGCTGATTAAAGCGGCCTTGAAAATGTGCTTTTGGTATGGAAGACAAATTTATAGGCATTGAATGTCATTACACTACCCCACATAACCCAGAGGACCTGCCCAAGGGACACATTCGCAGCAAGGACTCTAGTGGGAGCCAGTGTTAAAATCCAGTCCTGAGTCTTGCTCTTCCTTTGTTCTTCTCCTTTTCAGTGAGAATGCAAAGTTAAATGAAAATTGTGTACACCTTAGGGGGAATCTCAAGGTACAGTGAAAGTATAAGCATTGTCCCTGAGGTGCTGCGCCAGAAGAGGGGTGCAGGATGGCTTCAGCAAGACAGACATCCTTCATTGAAATGAGTTGGTCAGCCAGGAAGAGAGAATACAATTTGGGGGGAGAGCAGTGAAATGAAGCAGTGTTTAGGGAAGTTATTCTGCAAGTGGGAGCATTTGGAACTAAAAAGTAAACAGTGAGCCAAGAGATTTCTAGATGGTAATGATTGGGGCAACACAGTACCACTTCCTGAAGGCCTATGTGTAGTATTCAAGTGTTTCACTGTAATCCTATAGGGAAGGTGCTGCTTTTTTCATTTTACATATACAAAAACTGAGGTTAGCTGAGATGAAATACAGTAACTTATCTCAGGTCATTGGGCTCCAAAGGGATATTTGTTTATTTGTTGTTTGTTATTAATGCTACCTGTGTGTGTGTGTGTGTGTGTGTGTGTGTGTGTGTGTGTGTATGTTGCTGGAGACAGAACCCAAGGCCTTGTGCATGCTAGGCAAGTGGTATACCATGGAGCCACATCCTCAGCTCACCTGTTTTAATTATGAAAGAAATCTGCATTATAGGTGCTGGGGATTTAGCTCAGCGGCACAGCGCCTGCCTGGCAAGTGCAAGGTCGTAAGTTCGATTCCCAGTACCGGAAAAAAAAAAAAAAAATCTACATTATAGTACAGGGTAAGAGACAATATAACACTGATGTCTGTATGTTTTGGCTTTAGTTTGTTGTTTTGTTTTGTTTGTGTGTGCATGGTGCTCTGGGGATTGAACTCAAGGCCCTTACACTGAGCTCATCCCCAGCCCCTTTTTATTTTTTATTTTTAAGCAGGGTCTCATTAAATTGCTAAGTTGCCCAGGCTGGATTTGAACTTGCAGTCCCCCGCCGTAGCCTCCCAGAGAGCTAGGATTACAGGTGAATGCTACATGCCTTGCTGTTTCTAATTTTTAAAGTCATAAAATATTACAGATACAGTTTCCTTGTACCCCTTGTCAAACCCATTCCCCTATTTTCCTCCTCAGAGTCAATCAAAAATACAGTACAATTATGTGGGCTTGCATTTTTTTTTTTTGTCTTTTGTCTTTTGTCTTTTTGAAACAGGGTTCCGCTATGTAGTTCAGGCTGGCCTAGAGCTCACTTTGTAGCCCAGGCTGGTCTTGAACTTGCAAAGATCCTCCTGCCTCAGCCTCCTGAGTGCTGGGATTACAGGCATGCACCACCACACCCAGCTGCATCTGTTTTTATCAATATTTTATTTCTCTCTTTTACTGTTGATCTATAATTAGTGGAGATAGATTCCTATTTTGTTCAGTCATTATTATGTTTTTGATACTTTATCATTATATTTTTCAATTACAGTATGAATTAAGGTCAGTCATTCTTGACTTTTGTGTAAGTTCCATTATGTGAACATATAGTATCCCAAATATTTAGATTGTTTCCAGTTCTGCTTATTTCACACAGTGCTTTGGGCACATGCTTGTATGTGTCTTTGGGCTCATATGCAAGAGTTTCCTTGGGTTTATGTGTCTAGAAGTGGAATTGCTTCCTCAGAGGAGAGTGAGCATCTTCAACTCACCCACAGTGCATTTGAGTTTCCAGTCCTCACAATTATCTCTCTTTAACTTTTGCCACTCTGGCAGGTTATAAAATCCTATGTTTTTACAGAATTAATCACTTTTCCCTAATGACTTGTGAATTTTTTTTTCCCCCCAAAGGAGATCTGGATAATTTCACAAAGTACCACGAGTGTGGAATATTTTTCTGTATTTTTAATTGAGGATTTACCTGTGCTACATAGTATCCCAGTGTGTACAGATGCTATGATGTAATTATCCAGTCACCCCTGGGTGGACATTGAGATGTTCCGAGTTGTTGGTATTTTAAACAATGTTTTAATTGAAATATGTATGAAAGAATTGATAGGTTTATCAGATGCTTATAGTGAACTCATTGCTATGCTAAAGGCTTTATGGTATAATCTCATTTAGTCCTTGCGGCAGCTGCAAAGATGAGTACTGTAATGATCCCACCTGGAAGGTTGCACATGAGGCCTTTAGAGGTTGTGTTATAACCATTCATTGCAACTAGTGAGTGTCAGAGCAGAAAGCTCAGACAGTCTGACTCCATGCTGTGATCCATGTTTTTGTCCTGGCTGTTACTAAGAGTCTCTTAAGTCATAAATGAGTACTTTTGTCTGTATTTTTAAGATGAAGAAAACAAGGCAGGAATCCAATAAATGACCACATTTCCTCAATTTTTTAGTGTTTTTTTCCTTTTGTTCAGTTCTGAGAGATCTGATTTGATCCTATTCTTTACCAAAGGACAATTTACTACTTAATGTAGTTCAAGTAATAATACTTACAAAAATCAACATTATAGATTTATTTTTGTTCTTCTGATTCAGAGGTCCTTAAATAATGCTATTTTGTTTGCCTTGGAAATGTTGAAAAATAGACTATAAACCGCAGGGCAGGTTTAGAATGGGTTATAACCCTAGCAGTTGTTAGTGTGTGGTACTTTACTCTTTGAATATAAAAGGACAAGTTCCATACTACAGAAGTGAAGATTTAGCTGAATAATGCCTAAAAATGTTATTCAGGTGTGGTTTAGTTGTTGAGTCGTTTCTCTGCTTCACATAAGTTTTATAAACTTTTCCCCAGTGTATTATTCCTCAGGTCTGAGATGTGCTAAGCCATGATATGGGCGAATAAATTGATCTCAGACTCTCAGTACAAACTTCTAGTAGGCTTTCATTTCTGCACAGCAGTAGCATTCTGGGAATTGTAGTTCAAAAGCTTAGTCAAAGCATTGCCTTAAAATCAAGGTAAATCTTTCTTCTTGCTTTTATAAGCAATACTTTTAAAAGCTACCTGACAAGTCACTTAGCTTGACTCTTGTATTTTGATGTTACTAGAACTGCTTCAAAGCAATTACTTCCTTGTGTCTCACCAAAGTCAAGCCATAGTTCAGTGTATATAGATTAGAGAAAACCTTTTATTTGCGGAAATTGGAGCAGTATTGACTGCAGTAAATGAATCAAGAGTGGAGAGAAGATCTTCATGTGGCAGTCTTTAAACTCCAGTCCCAAACAAGCCTTATGACTCTTGTCTGTCATGAAGAAAGAGATCAATGTAATGCCTAGGGCATTAGAAATAACCTCTTCAGTTCTGGAGCCTCTGAAGACTTTTTTTTTTAATGAGAAAGCAGTAATTCAGTGTCCTGTATATCTGTTCAATATGGTCTTACTTACAGGATTGCTTATATCAGTACTACTCTTTGCTTTTGTAGCCTATCACATTTATCCTTACAAAAGCCTCCTAGATATGCATTATTTACTTTTTTGCTTTTTTAACAGTTGTAGGGATTGAACCCAGGGCTTTGTACATGCAACATACACCCTCTACCACTGAGCTTGTTACAGTCCCAGACCTGAGGCATTGTTACCACCATTTTTCAGATAAGGTTTTAAGATTTGTGTAGATGTAAGTAGTTGCTAAGTGGTAAAGCCAGATATTGAATTGAGCCCTCTCCCAATACTAGAGCTTAAGCTTCTAATTACGAGT